ATTACTATCCCTTGTTTTACAGATGAGGACACTGAGGCACAGTGAGGTTCTGTAACCTGCACAAGGCCACACAGCTTAGTTCTAAGAGGCAGAGCTTAGTTCTGTTCTTACCTTTGCACTCTGGTGCTCTCAGTGGTCATTGTTTTATTTGCTGTTATCTCTACTGACTCTATGCCCTCAGTAAGTACATGTTATTCTTTTTTTTCCCTCCCACCTTCAAAATCCTGCCTGAATTTTCTCTCCTTTGTAACATCTTTTAGTCTATAATTTAGTGAGCATCTACTGCTGACATGCCAGACCTGTGCAGGGCAGTGGGGATCTAGGATCCAACCACCCAGTCTCTGCTCTCTAGTGAGGGAGAAAAACACATACATAAAAGCTACACATACATAGGACTTCTCTGGTGGTCAAGTGGCTAAGACTCTGAGCTCCCAACACAGGCCCTGGGTTCTATCCCTGGTCAGGGAACTGGATCCCACAGACCACAACTAAAGATCCCACATGCTGCAATTGAAAGAGGCCAAGTGCCACAACTAAGAACTGGTAAAGCCAAATAAATATGTAAATAAATATTTTTTAAAAAATAAATAAAACTGTCTAATAGCAAAAGGAAAAGTACAAGTATTTTTTAAAAAACACACATACATTATTAAAAAAAAAGAGAGGAACACCAATTGCAGCAGGAGCTGGGAGCCCACAGAAGCATAGAACTTAACTGGAGAATTGGGGCAGGCTTACCAGAAGAGGGATCATTTGAATGGGGTCTTGAAGGGTGAGTAGGAGTTCCTCAAACAGAGTTATAATATAGAGACATAGAATATGATGTATAGTGCAAACCCTGCAAAGGAGACTGAATCTATAAAGGCTAGATAAAAACATGCCGGGGTAAGTTCTATGCTAGGTCTTCTGGGCACTGCAGATACAGAGGTGGAAAGAAATTAAATTAAATTAACCAGGCCCCCATGGAGTTTACAGACTTGGAATCAGGAAAAAGAAAGCAATAAGTAAAGCAAAAACAGCAGTATTAAAGAAGAATCCAGAGAGGCTTTGGGACTACCAAAAAAGAGCATAAACCTGTCAAGGGGTCAGTGAGTGCTTCCTGGAGGAGTAGTTGATGCCTGTGGTGTCACCTCAGTGGTGTCCAACTCTTTGTGACCTTGTGGATGGTAGCCCACTGGGCTCATCTGTCCATGGGATTCTCCAAGCAGTACTGGAGTGGGTTGCCATGCCCTCCTCCAGGGGATCTTCCCAACCCAGGGATCGAACCTGTGTCTCTTATGTCTCCTGCATTGGCAGGTGGGTTTTTTTGTCACTAGCACTACCTGGGAAGCCAGTTGATATCTAGGCTGAGATTTAAAGATCAGGGCCAAGGACTTCCCTGGTGGTCCAGTGGCTGAGACTTGGTGCTCCCAGTGCAGGGAGCTCCCGTTTGATCCCTGGTCAGGGAATTTAATCCCAGAAGCCACAACTAAGAATTCACATGCCACAGCTAAAAATTCTGCATGCGGCAAAAAAGATAGAAGATCCTATGTGCCACAACTAAGACCCAACACGGCCAAATAAATTTTTGTAAGTTATTTTTTATTGAAGCATAATTGCTTTACAGAATTTTGTTGTTTTCTGTCGAACCTCAACCAGAATCAGCTATAGATATGCATATATCGCCTCCCTTTTGAACCTCCCTCCCATCTCCCTCCCCATCCCACCCCCCTAGGTTGCTACAGAGCCCCTGTTTGAGTTTCTTAGCCATACAGCCAATTCCCCCGTTGGCTATCTATTTTACATATGGTAATGTAAGTTTCCAATAAATATTTTTAAAAATAAAAAAAGGAAAAATCAGAGCCAGATTATGTCAACCTACCACCACCCAGCCCATATGTAAATTCAACATAAAAACAAAACTGACTATAAGAGTAAGGAACTCCAATAAACTTCAAATGTTTGCCATGAATACTATTTAAATGTTTTTTAAATTATCAAACATCAAATCATTTTTCAAAAATGTTTTTAGTGCCCCTGCTTTGCTGGTGTCCTGAATACACGTCTCTCTGCTTGTTGGGTAATCTGACACGGTAACTGGCCAGAGGGAGTCAGCCAGGTGAGAGCTGGGGAAGGGTGTGGCTGGCAGCGGGGAGTTTCTTGTAAGTACAAAGGCCCAGAGGCAAGAGAAAAGATGGCGTGTTGGGGGAAGAAGGAAATCCTTTGATGCGATCCGGCAAATGCAAAGAGGTGGGGGATGGAGAATTGGACTGGATTCTAAGGGTGCTGGGGAGGCATGGAAGGGTTTTAACTGGGATGTGACGTGATCAAATGTTCCTTTTGCAGGATCACTGTGAATATTGCTAGAGACCTTTTGATGGTTTGAAATCATTCATGCAAGAGACACCAAGTACCCAGGATGTTTCAAGCACTGACCCAGGTCCTGAGGCTGCAACAGATAATTAATTAAGGGTTCGGCAGACAGAGCAAGACCTGGCGGGGACATTGAGTGCCCCGCTACGGAGGAGTCTGAGTGGATAGAGGCTTGGAGTGTGGAAGTGTATGGCTTTCACAGAAAGAAAGCCAAGCCCTGGTGCTGGATGACGAAGCAGTGAGATGGGAGATGGCGCTCAGGGAACTTACAGGGGACTTGTCGTGGAGAGACTGCAATGTCTAGGAGAGGAGAATAAAGGAATGAAAGCGGGAGGAGAGGCAGTGGGTTAGGGGTGAAAACTCCTGCTCCGCGTAACCTCCCTTGAAAGTGGCCAAGTGGGCAGAGGGCAGAGGCCCTGGCCAGCCCCGTCAGCGCCCCATGCCTCCTGAGCTCTGCTGAGCCCCGCAGCTCGGCTCCTCCTGGCTCCAGAAGTCAGACGAAACCCTGAAGGAGAGCCGAGGCTGGTGAGGAGGGGGCGGGCGGGAAACAAGCCCAGGCCTCTCACCCCAGCGGGGCCTTCCTTCCCAGCGGCTGGAGCCAACCCTGCTGAGGAGCCAGAGGTTACAGGGAAGGATTAAGGAGTTGGTTGCTTTTTTACCCAAATTGTGGCTGCATTTCTCTCTCTTTTTTTTTTTTAAAGAAAAATGTTCCTGTACACGCACCCGGAGGCTTTTGCAGGAGGCGGCTGTTGGAGAACCAGGAAAACAAGCCAAGAAACAAGAGAGAGGAAGAAGACCGCGCCTCGCTTGGCAGATTCCTAATGGCCCGGGAGACCTGAGGCTTTACAGTGGGGGGCCGGTGGGGCTGGCTCGGGTGGGAGGGAAGGGCAGGCCGAAGGACAGCCACTTGCTGGCCGGTGACCTTGGGCGGGATGCTGCCTGCTTCCCTCCGGTGAGAATGGGGAGGAGGGGGCAGGGGCCAGGCTGGCCGGCTGAGGTCACAGGAAGGCCCCTTCCAGCCTGAAACGCGATCTCGGGATGTGGGGCCTGCCAACCTGCAGCGACCCTGGGCCAGCAGAGATGAAAGGCTGCCTGTCCCCGGCTTCCGGACCCCCGAGGCCCCAGTGCCTCCAACTTGAAGGGCAGCAAAGCGGCTGCAGCTGGCTGAACCCGGTTACTGGGCTCCCCCACCACCACCACCACCCTCCCCTGCCACCTGATGTCCTTCAACCCTCCCTTCCCTGTTTTGCAGAGGACACTTGGGGCCCAGAGAGGGCTGGTGACCTGCCCGAGGTCACACAGCAAGTTGGAGGCTGAGCCAGGACTCACCACAAAGTCTTTGGATTCCAAGGCCAGGCCTCATTCCCTTTCCTGGAAACTTGGCTGCCTGGGGGGCTTACCCTGGGGAGTTGGAGAGACCCAGGGTTAGGGAGGACAGTTGGGAGCTGTGTCTGTTTGAAGTCACAGCTTAATGTTGATTAAAGTGCCTTTAAAAAAAAAACAAGACTAAAGGAACATTCCCAGCCCCTGCCATGAGCCTGGACTTGCTCCGCTGGCAGGGGAAGGAACGGTGGCCAGCTGCAGCCTCAGTTCCTGCCGCTCCCGCCCCAGCAGACAGAGGGACAAAGGCCTCTTCTCAGCCTGTCCCCTCCAGCCCCCTGGATCAGAGCAACAACCAGGAGGCCCTGTCACTGACCAGCTAAGTCCCTGTTTCTCTCTAGGTCTTAGTGCCCTTTCTGGAAAATGGGGGCAGAGTATCTGCCTGACCTACTTCTCAGCACCATTTTGAGGTTTCAAAGAGGGAGAGTTAACAGAAATACAAACCTCTCAGCACCTCCTTCTGCCTGAGGGCCGGCCACCTCTGAGACCCCTCTCCCTCAGGCTTAAACTGGCCAGCCCCAGCCGCTCATTGGGGACCATCCCTCACTTTGGGGAGCCCTCCCTCACCTCCAGACTGTGCTTCTCCTTCAAGGTATTTATCCCCATTGTAATTAAATAATTAATTGTGTAATTGAATCTGTCTCCCCATTAAAAGGTGAACTCTGTAATAATAACAGCTGACACAAAATGCTTACCCAGTGTCAGCTACTTTCCATGTATTAACCCATTTAATCTCTGTGCCAGGTACAGTTAGTTTTCCCATTTTACAGATGAGGAAACTGAGAAAAGGAGAGACAGAGTAATGTACCTGAAGTCACAGCAAGCTGGAAGCAGAGCCAGAACTCTGTGCAAGGAGTAGCAGAACCGGGATTCAGATGCAGATCCCAGGCTGGAATCATTAAGCCACTAATGAGACCAGTTCAATTTGTTCCTTGTCCATCCTAGCTCCAGAATACCTGGCATACAGTAAGTGCTCCATATGTATTGGGTGAACAAGGACAAAAGCAAGTGATAAATGCATTCAGGTATTTGGAGAAGACTAAGTGGTGTTGGAGAAGACTCTTGAGAGTCCCTTGGACTGCAAGAAGATCAAACCAGTCAATCCTAAAGGAAAATCAGTCCTGAATATTCACTGAAAGGACTAATGCCGAAGCTGAAGCTCCAATACTTTGACTACCTAATATGTAGAGCTGACTCAGAAAAGACCCTGAAGCTGGGAAAGATTGAAGGCAGGAGGAGAAGGGGACGACAGAGAACAAGATGGTTGGATGGCATCACTGACTCAATGGATGAGTTTTTGTAAGCTCCGGGAGATGGTTAAGGATAGGGAAGCCTGGCGTGCTGCAGTCCATGGGGTCTCAAAGAGTCAGACAAGACTCAGCGACAGAACAACAAGAGCACCATCCAGGGGTGAGTTTTGCAGGTGCCACGTGTGGAGCGAAGCCCTGATGAAGGGAGGTGGTACCCAATGTATTGTTAAAGACCTGTTATTGAGCTTCTTTCTGGAACATAACAGGCCCCAAACCTGGGACATCATCTGTGATGCCTCCTTCCACTTCATCTGCCAGAGCCATTTAGCCCCCAGGGTCTGCTTGCCATCTCCCAGTGCACCCCATCTTCTCCATCCTTCAACCCCCATCTTTTCCTTGAATTTTTGTAGCAATGCTTACACAGGGTTCTCTGTCTCTAATTTCTCCTCCTTCGAAGTGGGCCTCTAAAAACATAAAGCTGGGGACTTCCCTGGAGGTCTAGTGGTTAGGGATCTACCTGCCAATACAGGGGACACAGATTCCATCCTTGGTCCAGGAAGATCTCGCACACCATGCAGTAACCAAGCCCATGCGCCACAGCTACTGAAGCACTCACACCCTGGAGCCTGTGCTCTGTGACAAGAGATGGCACCTCAGTGAGAAGCCCATGAACCGCAATGAAGACCCAGTGCAGCCAAAATTAAATAAATAAAGTTTAAAAGTGGTAATAAATAAAAACAGAAAGCTAATTGTGCGTCCCATCCCTGTTTACTCCCTCCCTCACTAATGAACCTTGCATGGCTCCCCACTGCTCTCTGGATAAAGCCTGCACTCCTCACTAAGACTTCTACCACCCAAACCTCTGCCTCCCCCCAGCAGTCTCCCCCTACCCCAGTCTCACCTTCTACCCTTCTCCACATGTCCTTTGCCCAAACCACTCTACATAGAAGTTAAGAGCATGTAAGACGTAGGTTCAAGTCTAAATTTTGCCATTTACCAGATGTGGAAGTTTGTAAACAAATCAGTTTCCTTCTCTAAGCCTCAGTTACCACATCTGGGAAAATGGGCATAATTATAATACTTCTTCATAGATTCATCGTAAGGATTAAATGAATACATACGGTGCTGAGCACAGCACCCAACACTCCCAGTAGTTCCGTAATTCTTACCCTTTCCTCTGCTACAAAGAGCATTTCCTACTGTCAGTCTTAGTATTCTTTATGACCCAGCTCAAATGTCACCTCTTGGAGGAGATCTTGCTTGATATTCACACTCTGTTCCCCAAGTGAAATCAGCTTGACTTTCCAGGCTCACTTGCACTTTGCACCTCTGTAAAGCACTTGTAATATTGTTGCACCCTTTCCCCCATTACCCCAAGAGTTCCGGGAGAGCAGGAACAAAACCTTCTTAACTAGCCCACGCCTGGAGTGCAGCAGGTGCTCAGAAGGTGTAGGTAATATTGAATGGAGGCACCACTTTCAGTGCCTTTCTCCCTCTCTCGTTTTTTTTTTTGGTTGCACTGGGTCTTCATCGCTTTTGTGTGGGCTTTCTCTATTTGCAGAGAGCGGGTGCTACTCTTCTTTCGGGTACACAGGCTTCTCATTGCACCCATTACTCTCTGGTTGCAGAGCACAGGTTCTAGGCACGCGAGGGTTTCAAAAGTTGCGCCTCTAAGACCATAGAGCTTACTTGCTCTGCAGCGTGTGGAATCTCCCCAGACCAGGAATCGAACCTGCGTCCCCTGCACTGACAGGCAGGTTCTTACACATTGCGCCACCAGGGAAGTCCCTCAGTGCCTTTCTTGAGTGCCTTGCAGGCAGGAGGCCTGAGTGATGCTGGGACCTGGTTGCCTGAGTCCCACTCCAGCTCCGCCGCTGGTATGTTGATATGTGGGTGGGAGTGGAAGTGGGTAGAAGAAACCCCTGACCTCTGTGCTCTTGCCTCCAGCTGTGCCTCTGCAGTCCTCCGAGGGAGGAGATGGGAGAAGGTGGGGAGGAGGGACAGGTGCTGAGCAGGGGTGAGGTGAGGCTATAGCCAGACCTGGGGCGTGAGTGGGAGCTGGCAGACTCCAGCTGCTCCAAGACCAGGGCTGGGCCCTGCAGGACAGAGCTTCACAGCCCAAGTCCCCGCCTGCCATGCCCCGCCTCATCCTGGCACCTGCCTGAAGTGACTTTTCGGGTTGTAAAACTACATCTTGATCTGCAAGGAAGCAGAATCCAAGCCTGGCCTTGTCTGGTTGCTGAGCAGGGAAGGGGAGTGTTCCCTTTTATTCTCTTTTTGTGTAGGCAATCCCTTGCAATCCCAGACACATCAAAGGAGGTAGCACTCTTTGCAAACCCAGGTTAAGGTCAGGTTATCCCCCAACTGTTGCTTCAGGTGCCGGTCCTGCCACTCCCCCTATTCAGAACCCTCCTCTCAGGGGCCTAGCACCCTCAGGATAAAGTCCCAACTCCAAACCCAACCCATAAAGTCCTGGGTAGTCTGGCTTCTGCCTCCTCTTGCACTTTTTCTCACTGCTTCCATGTCTTCTGCCTTTTCTCAGTTCATTCCAGCACACCTTGCCTCTTCCTTTCTCTGGGCCTTCACACATACTGTTTTCTCTGTCTTGAATGCTATTCTCCATCCCCTGATAATTTTGTTTTATGCTGAGTGCTCTTGATGCCTAAGAAATCTTGGCCTATCCCGAGATCCTGAAGGTACGTCCATTTGTTTTCTTCTAGGAGTTTATAGTGTTAGCTTTCACATTTAGGTCCCTGATTCATCATGGTGTATTGTCAGGTAGAGGCTGAGACTCATTCCTGCTCTAATTCCTACTCATTTTTTCTTTTTTTTCTTTTTTTTAAATTTTTTGGCTGCACTGGATCTTTATTGCGGTACACGGGGTCTTTCATTGTGGCATGCGGGCTTTCTCTAGTTGGGCTACAAGGGCTTCTCACTGCAGTGCCTGGGCTTTTCTTGTTGTGGGGTATGGTCTTAATTACCCCATGGCATGTGGGATCTTAGTTCTCTGACCAGAGATTGAACTCATGTGCCCTGCATTGGAAGGCAAATTCTAAACTGCTGGAACACCAGGGAAGTTCTTGACAGTTCAGCTTATCCCTCACCTCCTCTGAGAAGACTTCCTTGACTGCTCCAAGACTAGATCAGTTCCTCCCACTCCATAGCCCAGAGCACCCTGTATTTTACTGTAGCACTTGTCACAATTGTAATTAAACAATTATTTGTGTAATTAGTTGTTTAACATCTCATCTCCTCTTGCACACTGTAGCTCTCTGAACTCAGTGCCTGTGAAGGTCTTCTTTAAAAACTTTGTATTGAAATAGACATTCCGAAAACCACGCATATGGAGATATACAGCTTGATAAATTTTCACAAATGGAACACACCATGTGACCGGTACCCAGACCATCATGACATGACGCTAAACATTTTCTGTACCCAGGAGTCCCCACATGTCTCATCCAGCTATGGCTGTCTTTTTTCACCCTTGTGTTCTTAATACTCAGCACAGAGTTTGGCATTATTAAGCTCTCAAAATTTTTGAATGAATGAATTAGTTGGTGATGCTTAATTCTCCTGTGAAGAATTAGACATGGAACCTGATCTCAGCTCTAGCTCCAGCTCACTGTGACCTTGAGGAGGTCCTTCTGCTTTCTGGGTCTCAGTTTGCTTGTTTATAAAATGGGTAGGTTGGGGGGATGGAAGGAGGTTGGATAATAACCCCTTTGGGACTTTTCCAGATATGGCATTTGAGGCAGAATTAACCCCTCAGGTTCTGACAATGCATTGTCAGGGACGATTTTGGTTTCATGCCTGAAAATGAGGACCTGGAAGGATTAGAAACTTAATCCACATGGAGCATCAGGAGCCTGGGCCTAAGAGTCAGAAGAACTAGGTCTGAGTCCCAGCCTGGCCTCTGGGTGACCCTGGGCAATGCCTTCCCGTCCCTGGGTCTTCTTGGTTTCTTCACTTAAAACGAAGAGTAGGTTGGCCTCCAAAGCCTGACAAATGCTGATGCTGGCTCCAGGCCTCTGAGCACTAAGTTTCAGTTCCTGGAGCACAGGAAACTGGCTCTGGGCTCCTCCCTTTCCAGGCACCATGGGGGGAGAGAAAAGCACACAATGTGATAACCACCCTAGCAAAGGGAACGCACAATCTGGCCAGGGGGACCCAGTGTTCAGCCAGGAACCAAATGGAAAATGGGCTGATGGTCCAAGTGATTCTCTCTACGTGTGGGGCTGAAGGGGAGGAGCTGGAGTGTTCCCAGTAGGGGTAGGAGACCTGGGAGTGGCGGTAAGGGAAGACAGAGATGGCTTCTTGGGGGAGAAGCCTTTGGAAATTGGCAGGGCAGCCCAGGGTGCTTCCCAGAGATGGGAGGAGGCAGGAAGGAGGAAATTGGGTCCAGGTGACCACAGAGCAGCAACTTGGCCAGGGAGTGGGAGAGGCGGGAACTTGGGCAGCCACCCCACAGCTGAGTCTTGAAGGGGAAGGCGGGGGCGCGGGCGGGGGGCTGCTGCCTCTGCCTCGGCCCTGGTAAAGCGCCATCTTCTCAGGGCGCAGGCTGCAAAGGAGGGCATGGCTGTGAGCTCAGGCTAGAGGGGTGTCTCTTGGAGCTGTCCCCAGGGCCCTGCCCAGCTATCCTGGAGCTGCATGAGAAGCAGAGTCCATCTCCTTCCACAGGGCCCTCCCTTCAGCTTGGATCTCATTTCTGCCTCTTCCTGGCTTTACAACCAGGGGCACTCAGAGCATCTTCAATGAAGCCCATTCCTCAGACAGATGATTGAGGCAGAGTGATCGGGAGCCACGCTAAGGCACTGAGTTCTACCTCTGCAAGTGGTAGTAGGCAGCAGAGCTTAGAGTTAAGAGCTTGACTGCCAGGGTTCAGCTCCCAGCTCTGCCGCTTGTGGGCTGTGTGACCTGAGGCAAATCCCTTTCTGTGCCTCGGCTTCCTCATCTGTAAGGTGGAATGATTATATTACTTAAAGCATAGGGTTGTTGTGAGGATTAAATGAGGCAGTGGGTATAAAGCATTTAGATATAAATCACTGCCACCTCTGAGGCAGCAAAACGAACAGACTTTGCAGTCGCTCCTCTAGTCCAAGCCTCAGTTTCTTTATCTCTAAAATGGTGCTGATAATGCCTGCCTTTCAGGTCATATGTGAATATTAGTCAGGACGAGCTGACCCCTAAGACGAGTACACTGGAAGCCTCTCTCTCACATCCCCTCCCTACCTCCCCATCAGCCTGTTCAAGCTCTGGTCATCGGTCCCTAGCAAACAGCTGCTCCGTGGCCAGCTCAAAGGCCTAGGAATCTACCCTGGCAATGGGGTTTGGTCTAGGCTAGGGCCATTCAGGTTCTGGGACATAGTTCAAGGGCTTCTAGGATCTGGGTACCCAGAGGTGGTCTAGAGCAGGTGGAGGTGGGCTTCAGGTAGGCATGGCCTCTTGACCTCTCTCTGACTCTTCAT